TATGTTCAGATGTTTGCCCAGTTGTTGCAAGCCCCACAGGAGGAAGCTGATTCAATAATCAAGGAGCGCTTTCCTGTGCCTCGTTTGGTTGTGTGCGATCAATATGGTTCTCAGGTTATTATTTTCTATTTAATCTGTCAGTACACTCTGCATCAGAACTCTTAGGAGTATGCATCCGGTGCCTGTATACTCGGTAGTCAGGAGCAGTTCCTCAATCTGCAGTGACAGTAGCAACTGCAGGGGATCCCGTTAAGATATAAATTTGAACAAATGCAACAATCTTGAACTGGAAGGTCAAAATTTGTGCCGAGAATTGCAATCAAGTCACCAGTGATCAGTTATTAATTTTGGAGTAAACTAAAAAAATGATCAGCACTTCCATATAATTTGTTGTCTAATGCTTTATTTTATGGAAATTGCAGGCTCGATTCTTGCTGGCAAAGCTGAACCCATCTGTGACATATGACTCCGACAGTCCTCCGCCTCCTGGGGGGGATATGATATTCACAGATGATGCGAGCTTCCAGGTCTTCATGGAGCATCTCCAGCGGTTGGCAGTTCAGTAGAGCATGGACGTGCAGTAGTTTTGCACCAATGGCCTCTTCTCTCATGTACAGCAAAGAAAACCTTTTCGTGTGTATCGCTCTTATACCGGTTGCCACGTACTGTAGGCCAGCATACCGCTTTTACCTCCGCATCTGTACATTGCCATGGACTGTAAGGTTTATGTCGTTTAGCCCGAGATGGAACATTCATAAATTGTGTTGTTAGCTCAACATATGGTTGATCATTGCTTACACCAAAGAAGATTGCCATCGTCTGGGTGTTCAAGCGTACTGGTGAAGAGGAGTTTTTAAGTCTCATGTGTGGCTAGCGATGGCGTGGTTGCTGCGTCTACTAGATTTATTGATAGCAGGTGTTTGCTCCAAAAATGTGTGACAATTGATGTTATGGTGGTGGTTTATTGGTTGATGGAAGCAAGCGTAATTATATTTTTTTTCTTCATTGGTCAATACCTGAATGTCGTCCTTCTGGACACACATCGGGCATGTGGTTTTCTTTTCCAAATTCTTTTTTGCATTTTTCTCTGCATTTTCCTCTTTTCATTTGAATTTCTTCAAACTGCCAAATTTAAATTCACAGAAAGACAAGGTTTTCCGAGAGAACCTTGTACTAAGATAAGAGTTGGCCATTGATATATGGTATAAACATAACCACCTTAATGAATTAACTGACTTGTTTTACTTATTAAAATAAAAATCTTAAAAATCTAAAATTTGACCTGTTAGCAACATGCACACGTGTATTGGTCCAAATGCGGCATAAATTTAGACGGCCACGATGGCACGACCTAATGATAATGCAGTGGCATGGCATAACATGGTTCTTTGTTGTTGTCGGAGGAAGAGGAGTCTGAAGATATTGACCTTGCATTCAATATTACTCACTAGTGCCAACACGTAACTGAAGATAAGTGCGCAGGGAGGCAAACGGTGCAGCGCATGAACTGGCCAGCTTGGCAAAATATGCTGAACCGGGCATTTGGGCAGATGATATTACCCTGATATTGCCCTTCCCCCCATGTACTGTACCTCTTCTCCTAAAAGATATTACCCTGATTAGCAATGAATAGAGGTACTTTGGGTGTCAAAAAAAAATGTAACATGGCCTGCTGCGTCGACTCACATTTTAAGGTGTGCACTGAGTTCACAGAATTTATTTCTTTTAGAGAAAAACGAATGCACACTACCGAACTTTATATACTGTGCTGTTGCCCACAAACACTTCCTGGGAGCAATGCAAAATGCTAGATTATGAATCGTTCAAAAAATTCAGAATGCACACTTCCTAGGAGAGCAATACAAAATGCTAGAAGACATGAATCTTTCTTAGAAAGTTCAAAAAATGCAGGAAGCTATTTGAAACTTTCTCGTTCTTCGTATTCTTTCGCTTCCAGTATAGAGGATGGTGGGTGGAATATATGTGAAGTACTTAAATTACATAATCGCTATCATTTTCAGTTTGCAACTTCTTTGTCCTACCTCATCAGAACTCATCCCACCAGCATGAAAAAGGAAAAAGTATACTTAATCAGTCATCTGCCATAAGCGTTCTTGTTTGTCCGAAGAAAAATTATCTGGACCGTCGATGCATCTCAGTGGAAAATAGCATCTGTGACTACAATTCTCTGCCCTTCCCACCTGAGCCATGAAACAAATTTCTATGCCAATCAACTTAGAATGGTATTCTCCTGTAGTATGGAAACCATTATTCCTCACCGATCACCGATCTTCGTCCAGTACCCGTGCCATACACCCACCACTTTGGTTTTTGTTCGGCAGAAGTCTAAACATTACAATCCTAATACCATAGAAACTAGGTATTACATTATTTTCTGGAGCATTGTTTTCAATCTCTTCTGCAGCTCTAATGTAACATTACATTCCAATAATGCAACTGTTCATCACATTTTAATTGGGCGGCCTTCCCCATTGTACAGTTAACAAGGTGAAAAAATTTCCCGTCAAAAAAAAACAAGGTGAAAAAATTATCAGAAAACAGAACATTTGTCCTCAGTTTATCACGAGCCTGTGATAAAGCCTAATTCGATATCCAAAGAATTATGTGATATTGGGAAGAGAACATGTGTAAATAGCTGATTACAAACAGTCTAACCTAAAAAACTTGCATCTAGCTTGCTACTTCATGATGGCTCTTCTTTCTCTACTGGTACAAACTAAGCTGTGCCCAGCCGTCTTCTTGAGTTCCATCTCCTTCATGGTCCTCCTCGTCCTCTCCGCGTCTTCCAGCATTCCAGCCTCGAAGTACATGTTCGCCATCAAAACGTAGAACGTGACGTCATTAGAGCCCGACTGGAAGAGATCCTTGGCAACAAATTCAGCCAGCTCCAGGTTGCCATGAAGCCTGCAACCGCCGAGGAACGCGCCCCAAATGCACTTGTCTGGCTGCATCGACATTCCCCTGATGATTTCATACGCTTCAACAAGTCTACCGGCACGTCCAAGTGTTGGTGATATATGGTAGTCCGTGACAATGCTGTTGAAAATCGCCAGCCCTTCATCAACAAGGCCAGAGTGGCCACACGCCACTAGAACCGCGGTCAATGTGAAGGAATTAGGCTTTATCCCTTGATCTTTCATCGCAGAGAACAGACTGAGAGCCTCTTCAGGCTCACCATGGTTGGCATATGCACTGATCATGGCGCTCCATGACACAACACCAGGCTCACGCAAACCTTCGAAAGCCTGCCTTGCGCAAGCAATCTCACCGCATTTCGCGTACATGTCCACAAGAACATTGCCGATCCTCGCACCAGTGTCGAGCCCACGACTCCTAGCAAGCTCGTGCACCCACTTCCCTGTCTCAAGGGCTCCCGTGCGTGCGGAAGCTGACAGCACACTGACCAGAGTGACAGTGTCAAACCCCACCTTCTCACTAAGCATCCTGTGGAAGAGCTTGATCGCCCGGACCCCATCACCATTCTGCTCATACATGGCAACCATCGTGTTCCGGGACACCACAGTGCGCGCAGCCATTCCATCAAACAACTCTTTTGCCGACGCGATGCTCCCGCACTTCCCATACATTGCGATGAGCGCGTTCACCAGCGGCAGATTCGCATCGAACCCCAGCTTGACCACGAACCCATGAACCATCTCCCCGGCAGCAAGACATTCCTGCCCCTGCAGGCACGGCAGGAAACTGATCAGAGTGATCTCGTTCGGGAGCATGCCCTGGGCAACCATCGTGCCAAACACCGCGACCGCCTGGCCGAACAAGCAGTTCTGCGCGTAGCCCGCGACCATGGCCGTCCACGAGACGACCGTGCGGGCACCGGCGGCGGCTGTCAAGAACACCTGCTCCGCGTCCGCCACCTCCCCCTCCTGGCAGTACATAGCGATGAGCGCGCTGTGCACGAAGCCGTCCCCGGCGAGTGCGAACCTCACCGCGTCCCCGTGCGCGGCCCGTCCGAGCCGCGGGGCGCCCGCCGCCGCGCACGCCGGGAGCACGATGGGGTAGGTGTAGCAGTCCGGCGCGACGCCCGCGGCGCGCATCCGCTTTATAGAGCTGGAGCGCGTCCGCTGCGGGGGAGTTGGCCGGGACGGAGGAGTGGGAGTGGGCGTGGGCGCGGAGGAGGGTGTTCCACATGTAGGCATCGCGGTGCGGCGCGGCGTCGAACACCCTGAGGAGGGCGCGGGCGTGGATAGGGAGGAGGGCGCGGAGGGGCGAGGAGGAGGAGACGCCGGCGGCTGAGAGGAGGCCGATGTAGTGGCGGACGAGGGCCGCGGCGGTGGGGGGCGGTTGCGGGAGAGGAGTAGGGGGCATCTGTTGGACCTCGGGCCGCTGCTGACTGAGTTGGGTTTCACCACGCAGAAATAACTAAGCATAAGCTACGTCTTCTTTTGTACTCCCTGGGTTCCTAAATGTAAGTCTTTGTAGAGATTCCATTAGATGGAATGCATACGGAGCAAAATGAATGAACCTAAACTTGAAATGCATCTATATACATCTGTATGTAGTTCATAGTGAAATCTCTACAAAGACTTATATTTAGGAACGGAGGGAGTACAAAAAATTACATGTCGAAATTTATTTGGTTTGCTTGAGACATTTGAATTTTTTGAATGTGTTGAAACTAACAATTGTATCCAAATTTGTAACAATTGTATGCAAATTTGTGCCATTATGTGCCCTCACCTACATGGCTACATTGCCAAACAAACTGGCAAGTTACAGAGATTATGACTGAAATACATGAGATCAAGATAAAGGATGTGCTATGCAAAAGCAACGTTTGCAACATTTAGTCAAGTATCGCGGCGCCATTTAGACACATTAATCTCTCAGCCAAAAACTCTTCTCTGGACTTCTCATGGAAGTAATGATCATGTTACATTAGTGTTGCTAGAGACTCTGGATAGATTCAGCTAACGATGGCAAAAACGAGTCGGGGGACAATTTGAAAGTGTCTGATTCCTCTACTTCATATTAATGGTGGACTTGATCTGCTCAACCAGATGGGGCAGGACCCTGATGCTGTCGTCGATGGATCTGTTCACGCACGACTCCAACTCATTGGTTGCATCCGTCTTCATCTTCTGGAGCTTTGCTGCTTCAAACTTGTCTTGGCAGACCATCAATGAGCGATTCAACCTCCTGGAACAAGGAAGAATACATCTCAGCTTAAGACATATGTATGCACCAGGGTGTAAATGATACAATAATTTGCGCTGGCCGATATATGCTGCCTGTTATATAACTGCTGGTTTATTCAGGTATAAATCATTTACAAAATTATTAAGAAGTATAGATGAAGTGTATGTAACCCTGCAAAGTGTAGAAAATGTATGCCCTTAAATAGCAATGCACAAAGAACAGAGCTCTGATGAAGAACCTAACCTAATGCAATTAAGCATTATATGTTTATCATGCTCAGTTGTTTGTGAATAAATGACCACCGTTCCCCTGTTACATGCTTTCTTTTCCTCTGGCTGCTAAGATGTTTCAGTTCGCCAGGTTGTCTCTTGCCTGCTCATGGATTCAGCTGGCAGTTTAAAAGGTTGACCTATTTGGTAATCACCGGATCTATGCTTATTTTCAACTCCCCTTCCTATGGACTTCTCCAAACAAGAATCTCACAGGGACATCGTCTTGATCCAGATGCTTGAGGCAGGTTTGCATCAAAAAGACTGACTACACTACTAGATGTCTCGTGACAAATAGGCAGCCGTGCAAAGTTTAGGAATGACATGTTGAACTGGGGGCAGAAAAATTGAGTTGGCCACTGTAGCTGCTCACATTCTATGTTAGAAATCAGAACTAAAATAACTCAGGGAGGAAGCCAGATGATAGATATTGGAGGGACAAACATTATTAGAGTTCTAACTATTGCATATTTGTATGAGTAAGCTCTTGATTCTAATTTAACGACACAGCCAACTGCACGAAGAAATATATATAGGGTCTGTCATCTGACCTACCTATCTGGTGCAAAGAGATTTTTCCCAAGTATTTCTTGACATGTCATGCAAACAATTATCCAAATCACTGACTCATTGCTTATATTCAAATCATGGATGGAACATATCACGCTAAAAAAAAGCATGGAATGATGGAACATATGTATGCTATTTACTCGCTGACTAAATACACCATTAACAGATAAATCATACACAAACACGGTACGAATGCAGGTCGGCATGCACATATTTTTAAGCATTTGTGAAAGCCAGTGGCAACTACTGAATTCAAATGTCTCAAGTTAAATACAACTTGGTGAATATGGCATGTTCATTCAGATAGAGCATAAGTCATAGGCATAATTCAATAGAAATTGAGAAGGCAGCGCAAATAGCTGCAGTTTGATTTCCACAAAGAACTACAAAGTAGATGATACAGCAACAGAACTATAACTTTATTGCAAGAAAATGATACAGTGGCTAAACTCAATACAAACAAAGCTGGTCTTAAGTTATTTTTTATAGAAACTAGTATATAAGATGTATGAAAATAATAATGATAGGTGGATGAAACAGAAAGTACCTGGAACTTGGCCATCTCGGTCTCAACAACATTGTTGGCAGAAAGAGCAGGCACACCACAGTTGTCTACACAGCTGGTGATCCCCTCTTGAGTCCGTCGCCTATCAAAGCAGTCATGTGCACACTTGAAGTACTCTTTCTGAAAATCACCAGAGAAAAATAAATCCAAACAGGCGTCAGCATTGGTGTTTCTAACCCCCTGCTACGAATATATCAAGCATATCAGCATGTTTCATGTAGAACTATCTTTCTCCTTCCCAATATGACAGAGAATGGCGGTCACCTTCAACGATTAGTGTAAACCATGCATCGTTCCCCTTCCCAATAATGTCCCAATATTTCAAGTGCTCACACCGTACAACAGAGCAATGCTAAGAAAATTACAGAACTATGACAAACATTACAAAATTATCACCGAGAACCAATATTATATCAATAAATAGTATACTTGCTCCACTACTGGGCTTACTGAAATTCCTACATATCTAGCAGCTACAATCCCCCAAAGTTCAGGTCTTTCCATCTCAAATCTCTACCCTGAGTTAAAAAGAACCCCAATCATATCCCATGAACTACATTAGAACAACCCAAGTATCTCATGCCCCTGAAACAGCTAAAACAACTAGCATCGGACTGCGGCGCAACTGGACACCAACAAATTTCATGACTGCCGCAAGATTAGCATCCTCCGTCCTGAGATTACCCATCCCATGAGAAGAAGATCCCTAAAATCTCGCAGAACAAATCGACGAATCCCCCGAACCAACCGGAGATTCCGTGAACAAGGCATCGGGGTTCCCCGCCCCTCGGCCCTAAACCGCATCATAGGGCAAACCCCGAATTTGGGGTCTAAGGCGGCGGGGCGGGCTCACCTGCAGAGTGAAGTTGACATGGTCCTGCACGCCCTCGAGGTGCTTCTGGGCGGCGACGTTCACCTCCTCCAGCTTCTTCCGGATCCGGTCCGCCACGATCCTCTCCTCCATGGAGCTCACGTGGTCCATCGAGCTTCACGATTTGGTTGTGGCTTGGCTTGAGGAAGGGGAAGGGTGCGGTCGGTCGGCTATTTCTCGGCTGTGCTTTTCTTGGTGCGGAGGGCAGAACTGGAAGCGAGTCGGAAGGGGACGGAAGGTGGGGGTTGAGGGTTTAATGAGACGCGCTAGGGTTCTACGGCGCCCGCGGATTATGATAGTCAACAGTTCGGAAATACCACGACATACTGTTTTTTTTTTTGAACGAAGACGCTAGAAGCGTCCGGCTTTAAATTAATAAAGCCTGAAAGGCAGCAAGGTTCAACGGTTACACCATAACAGGTTCAGCTACACACCCAACAGGGCATCAAACAACAAGGTTCATCGCATCAAAATAAACATCACGGACCAGCAAGTGCAATGACCTAAGCAACTAAACACTCCACGGAAGGCTACAAAAGCAACATCAACTCGCCAGGTTCTGTCTTGCTCTCATCTGTATCGTCTTGATACGCACCATGGCTTCTGTCATACGCTCAGCATTGCGCTCCTTCCCCAACGGGGTCCACATCTGCAGAAATAGATGGCATTTGAAGATCACGTCTGCAGGGTGGTTAGAAAATTTCTTTTCGATCGTAATTTTATTGCGCGTCGTCCAAAGTGCCCACAGTAGCACCCCTACGCAACGCCAGGCAATTCTGTTAGAGGTCCCTTTCGTGGATTTAAGGATCGAAACCAATTGGGTCCCCGAAGCGGGATTCCAGTCTGTGTGAAAGGCCTCCCGAACTGCACTCCACGCAAACCTGGCCAGGTGGCACCGAAAGAAAACATGATTCGCGTCTTCACCTTGCCCGCAGATCACGCATGAGCCATCGGCCGGACCGTTCCGTTTAGCTACGTTGTCCGAAGTAGGCAGCCTATTCCTAAGCATTTGCCACATGAAGATCTTGATCTTCAGGGGCAGGCCTGCCTTCCACAGTCCCTTGGCTATGTCAAGCACTGGCCCTCCAGTAAGCTTGTTATATAAGGACTTCACTGAAAATTTCCCAGACGTTGTCAAACTCCACTTAACAGCGTCAGCCCCCGTCCTAAGGCGATAAGAGCCTAATTGCTGGGCCAGCCCGTCCCAAGATGCACGCCCTTCGTTTGTTAGGGCCCTCATAAAGTGGATCGCCGGCGGATCGATATGCATCGCCTCCCCAACTAGGATGTTAGTATCTGTGGCGATCCGGAATAAGGTGGGATGACTTTGCCAAAGGGGGGAATCACCCAGCCAATGGTCAAGCCAGAACCGAGTGGATAGTCCGTTATTGGTCTGGAATTTGGCCCCTAAGTCGAAAGCAGGCCGCACCGCTTGGATCCCTCTCCAAAACACGGATCCGTTGGCCGAGGCTGTGAAGGGGTTCCCATTCGGGAAGTACTTGGCTTTAAGCAGCTTTGCCCAGAGCCCCGACTCATCTTGGGCCAGCCACCACCACCATTTGGCAAGAAGGGCAACGTTCATTAGTTTGGACTTTAGGATTCCCAAACCACCAAATTTCTTAGGCCTGCAAACCGCCGCCCACTTGACGAGGTGGTACTTCCTCTTGTTGCCAGTTCCTTCCCAAAAGAACCTGGATCTCGGAGTGTCTAGCTTGGCATGTACCCCATCGGCAAGCAAAAACATCCCCATAGTGAAGAGGGGGAGGGAAGAGAGACTCGAGTTTGTAAGAATGAGCCTTGCAGCGGAGGACATGAAACGCCCCCGCCACGGGCTTACCCTGTTAGCCACTTTCCCGTACAGGGGCTCCCATTCTAGGATCAAGAGTTTGCGGTTAGAGATTGGGAGCCCAAGGTACTTAATTGGGAAGCTCCCTAGCTTGCAATTAAGAAGGTTTGCGATACGTAAGCTTTGCTGGTCATCCATCCCCATGGTAATGACCTCACTCTTGCTAAAGTTAATTTTGAGCCCGGAGAGGAGCTCGAAGGCTAGTAGCAAAAGTTTAATCGTGGCAATACTATGGTAATATGGCTTAAACAACAACAGAGTGTCGTCTGCATATTGTAAGTGAGTCACGCCACCCGGGATGAGGTGTGAGACGAGCCCCTTGATGTGACCGGCCTCCCTGGCCTTGGTCAGCATGGCTGCCATAGCATTAGCCACAAAGTTAAAGACGAGTGGGGATATGGGATCGCCTTGTCTAAGCCCTTTCCTGTTACGGAAATATTTCCCCATTTCGCCGTTAACAATGACCGAGGTGTTGCCACTCGAGATCAGACTCATGATCCGGTGAACAAACCCTGCCTCAAAACCCTTTTTGAGGAGGACCTCGCGTATAAACTCCCAGTTTACACGATCGTAAGCTTTTTCGAAGTCTAGCTTAAGGATAACGCCCTGCCCATGTGATCGTTTTAACTCGTGAATAATCTCCGTAAGAGCTATGGGCCCTTCCAGGATGTTCCTACCTTTAAGGAAAGCAGTTTGGCTCGAACTAATGACTCGTTGGGCGACCGGCGCTAGCCTAGAAGCGTAAGCTTTGGCGCATAATTTAAAAGGTACATTGATGAGCGTAATCGGCCGAAACTGCTTGATAGATTCTGCCCCTTTGACCTTGGGGATTAAGCAGATAGCCCCATAATTTAGACGTGACAGGTCCACCGTACCTAGGGCGAAGCCGTTTATGATCGCTTGGAATTAGTCCCTAAGCAGCGGCCAGAAGCGCTTGAAAAACTCCACCGGCCAGCCGTCAGGCCCTGGGGCCGTGTCGTTCTTCATACCCGCAAGCACGCAGTCAATCTCCTGGGCCGAAAAGGACACCATTAAGGCGTCGTTTTCCTGCTGCGAGACTCGCTCGTGCATACCCCATAAGTCTTCCCTTAGACTTAGGTTCTTAACCTCAGTTGTTCCCAACAGCTCAACGAAGAAGTCAAAGATGTATTTCACTATGTCGGTTTGGGTGATCAACGTCCCACGTTCCGACTGAAGCCTAAGGATAGTACTCTTACGTTTGCGACCGTTAGCGTATGCGTGAAAGTATCCTGTGTTGGCATCGCCTTTCACAACCCACTTGACACCACCCCTACGGCGCCCATATTCCTCCTCCGCCCTGAGAATAGCCAGGACCTGATGTTCAAGGGAGTATCTAAGCTCCCATTCGTCACCAGAGAAGGTTCTTACATCCGCCTGCGAGTCGAGGAGGGCTATTTCTGCCGTGATGCACTCCCTCTCCCTTTTGGACTCACTGCCATGGTTAGCCCCCCAGCCCCTAAGGAAAGCACGCAAAGCCACAGCCGCTGAGGACCAGAACTCAACCGGTCCATGTTGGCGCCCTATCTGGTTGCCGATCAGGGACCAGCGATCTGTGACTAGCTGGCTAAAACCCTCATGTTCGAACCAAGCTGTGTCTCAAAGAAGAACCTATGACTACGACGCGCGTTATCCTCTCCTGAGGACAGGATCAACGGAACGTGGTCAGATCCTATGCGCGTTTCCGCCACTAAAGTGCGAGGGGAAACATCGCCTCCCAGTCACTAGAGCAAAATACACGATCAAGGACACATCGAATAGGCTCACGTTGCTTGTTAGTCCAAGTGTATCTTGCCCCAGTACGCGCAATCTCCCTAAGGGCAGCGGACGCAATGGCATTATTGAACATGGACACCCTAGCCCAGTCAATATTGTTGTTGCTCTTGTCCGCCCCCGAGCGGATCAAGTTGAAGTCACCTCCCACCACCACGGGCAGGTTGGACGACTGTTTGGCCCCCACCATAGCTGTGATTTCTCCCAAGAAATCAGCGGACCTCGCATGGTCAGCCGGCCCATAAACACTCGCGATCACCCAAGAGTCTTGGGAGACCCGGTGGCGAACAGTGGCAGCTATATAGAACGTGCCGGCCTCCCACAAAATTACCTCACACACATCCTTGTTGCAACCCATCAGTTGACCCCCAGAGAGGCCGACGGACGGAATCCAGAACCAATCAAAGCGCTAGAGCGGATCGTACGCCAAAAGGTCTCTAAAAGAAAAATCGGCCTTAATTGTCTCCTGAAGCGCAACAAAGTCAATGTGTTCTTTGGACATGTACTCGCGGAGCTGCGTGCGACGCCCCCCGTGCCCGCATCCGCGGATATTCCAGAAAAAATAACGCATTAGATGATCCTGTTACGCAGGCGAACTCCACGGGAGGAGACCGCCTTGGCCACTCGCTTCCTAGCCGGCTTTCGACTGGAAGAAGGCAAGACCGAGGCCGCCCCGGCCTCGGCTCCCTCGTTGGGCATGGCGACAGCATCAGCCCCTACTGATGCTGCGGCCGAGGCTTCCACCGCCTGAGCAGCCACGCACCTGGCGGCTGCTTCCGCGAGGGCGGCCTGAGCCTCTTCGCGCGCGCGCACTAAAGGAATCAAATCCAAAGACGAGGAGTCTAGCGCTACACCACTATCATGCAGAATCTCGGCGAGATGCTCATCAGAGAAAGCATTCAGAATCTTAAAGGAGGGGGAAGGATTACTTGTCGTGTCCATGTTCTTGTCAGCAGCACGGAGCTTAGCACTTTCCAGAGAGGTCATGTCTCCAAGCTTGGCCTTGGCGCGAGCGCTAGGAGCCCGAGACGACATCGGAGTTGCCCTTGTACGCTTGGCCTTGACTGTCGGCCCTGACGCCACCAAAGCCGCGCCCAATTCACCTCCCAGCGCCGTTACCGACCCCGCAGCCTCCGAGGCCACCGTCTTGCTCCCAGCCTTCCTCCCCGCAGTCTTCTTGGCCTGTCGACCGGAGCCACTCGACAGGCGCCTGTCCGAGGCCGACATACTGCTTACTAGTACTACGAACCTTTTTTCACAAGAAAAAACTGGGAAGACATCGCCTGTTTTTGGAATTAAAAAACTGTTTTTTAAGAAAAAGACATATCCACTGCAATTTTGCAAGATGATGCACACAATCAAATTTGAACCTTATTGTTGGATTTATTTTGAGAAAGCATGTTAAGTATCGAAATGTAAACTTGCTTCAAGTTGGTTATTTCTTGCAACCCTACACAAGAAAAGATAGGCAATT